AAAAGAAATTTACAAAAGAATGAAAACGGAGGGAAGAAGAAGAAAATAAAGAATGAGCAAAGAGAAGAAGAGAAGAAAATTACATATGAATGGAAACGGAGGGAAGAAGAAGAAGAAGAAGAAGAAGAAGAAAGCAGAATAGTCAAAAAGAAGAGAAAAATTACAGACGAATGAAAACGCAGAGAAGATGAAGAAAATAGAAAATGAGCAAAGAAGCGAAAAGAAGCAAATTCAGACGAATGAAAAGAAGATGATCATGATCATGATCATGATGATTATAAGAGAGAAGAGACGAGAAGAGATTTCAAAAGAATGAAAAAACAGAAAAGAAGAAGAAAAAGAAAAATCGAGAAGGAATCAGAAGAAAAGACTAAATTCAAGATGGACGAAAAGAAGAGACATTTATCAGAAAAAGGCGGTAAAATCAACCTCCGCAGTCTCGAACGGGTGAGATGCAGAAAGAGCAGACGAACAACAAAAAATAAAAAAATAATAATAAATAAAATAAAACAAAAAAAGGAACGAGTGTAGAATTTCTTCTTCTCTCTTTTGCCCTTAAAAGGAAGAAAAAAAGAAAGAAAGAAAAAGAAAGAAAGTTCTTCAAAAGCGGCCAACGAGACAGTCTCATTTCTATAGAGCATCTTTTTTTTTTGGTTCCTTTTTCTAAAACAAACCGCCTAGCTAACTCGGCTAGAATTATTAACAACTGCGATCGATAGTTTTATAATTTGAACAATTATTCAATAGCCCGAGGAATTCGAAATTTATTGATTAAGACTGTTGCTGCTGCTGCTGTGAGTTGCGTGCTGTGGTTCGGGAGAGGCGAGGGCGGACGATGTGTGTTCTTGGCGTTTCTTTGACGTCCTACAAGGAGAAATACGCCTTCGCCATGTTTGAATTCACGAGGAAGATGGCGGCGTATGTGTTATATAATGGTTTTGGATTAGAAAAAGTCTTCATGCGTTTTTTAGTTCAATATATTTTCAATTTTAAATATTTTATTCGTCTAAGTGGCTGTACGTGCGTCTGGAGGTGTAGTAATAGGCCATTATATAGTTGTTTATCAGCAAGTAGCCAGACATGCGTACGAATATGTGTCGACACAGGTGTCCATATTTGTGCATACATAGTGCATCTGCATGTGAATTTGAACGGGTTCGTGTGTCTGTGTGCCTGCAGTTATCTGTGCTATTTAATCTGGCACAAGGCCACGGTAATGGGACACTACGTGTGTATCGAACTTGTTAAGATGTAGTAAATAGCCAGAGAAATTATATCGCCAAGCATCACGATTCCGAGGCGTCCATAGAGGCATTTACCATGCTAGTAGTGTATGGCACAAGGCCGCTGTAATGGGAAGATCTCTTGATGATATCTCACGAGATTAATGATTTCCAATTTGTTCTAACAGCCCCCCTCCCAGCACACCCATGGCTCTCAGGCCAACGTTCCTAGTGGCTCCTCCAAAGCTTGTATTACATTTACTGGAAATTCAAAGCAACTTAAATCGGAAATAGGTTTACGGCCATGTAGACACCGAATAGGGTCATTACCTAGATAGGCGAAGGTTTGGGAACATCAAGGACAGAAAGCTTGGAAGTGCGGGTGGTGTAATGGATAACGGCTCAGAATTGGAAATCGATGATGGGTTCGCTATATTGCCCTATGCACAAATATCTTTAGAAAAATGTATGAATTCACATCTGCTCCTCCAAGCTATGGGTTAATTAGTAAAGCATGTATTAGTAAAAATCATCAATATCGCCAAAATATTCTTAAATCTAAAAATATTTTCTGGGTTTAAATAAGAAGTTTGATTTGGTTTGGCTTGGTTTACGGCATATCAACACCTCAATGGGTTATTTAATGCCGACAATATTTTTAGGATAGATTCGTATGAATAGAATATGTATTCTTTGCTTTAGATTGGTTTGGTTTATTTTGTTTTACGGCATATCAATCTCAATGGGTTATTTAATGCCAACAACATTTTTAGGATAGATTCATATGAATAGAATATGTATTCTTTGGTTTAGATTGGTTTGGTTTATTTTGTTTTACGGCATATCAATCTCAATGGGTTATTTAATGACGACAAGATTTTCATTGCTGGTAATATTTTTTTCCAAAAAAGTATTGCTGGTATTATTTTTTTAAAAAAGTATTGCTGGTAATATTTTTTCTTAAAAGTATTGCTGGTAATGTTTCAAAAAGAAAAGTATTGCTGGTAATATTTTTTGAAAAAAATGTTGCTGGTAATATTTTTTCCAAAAAAGTATTGCTGGCAATAATGTATTCCTGATAATATATTTACCAAAAATGTATTGCTGGATAGTTTTTTTCCAAAAAAGTATTGCTGGTAATATTTTTCCGAAGAAAAGTATTGCTGGTATTAATGTATTGCTGGTAATATATTTACCAATAATGTATTACTGGAGATTTTTTTTCCAAAAAAAGTATTGTTGGTAATATTTTTTTCCGAAGAAAACTGTAGCTGGTATTAATGTATTGCTGGTAATATATTTAACAAAAATGTATTACTGGAAATTTTTTTCCAAAATTACTGCTGGTAATATTTTTTCAAAAAAAGTACTGTTGGTAATATTTTTTCCATAAAAAAATATTGCTGGTAATAATGTATTGCTGGTAATATATTTACCAAAAATTTATTGCTGGAGATTTTTTTTCGAAAAAGTATTGCTAGTCATAATGTATAGCTGGTAATAATTTATTTCTTCAAAAATTCATTGCTGGTAATAATCTTTTACAAAAATGTATTGCTGGTATTAAAATCTATTTTTACTCTTTTATAGTGTTTTGACCGCAGTTTGGGGGTTAACTATTTGCCCATAGCTTGGACCCTAACAGGTGCTACCATACCGGTTCACGGTGGACCTGGGAACACCAGCAATTAAGAGGTGGTTCCACGCTCCGCAAATCCTCCTGATCAGAGGCCTGGCTGCCGGGTGTAATTTATCGTCTTACCCAGGCCGCGTAGAAGTTTGAAAGCTGTAAAAAACAGAATCACTCACATTTATGTAGATTACTGAACCCAGGTTACTGTTTGGAAAAATGCCTGATTACTCTTCTCATGTCTTTATTGGTCATTGAAGAAAGATCCTTAGATGTAAATCGAGGGGTCTGCTTACTTTTATCATATCTCGTTGAAACACTAGTTCTTGTACGACCAACGAAATTAAACAACGCCGAGTCTGGTCAGTACCTAGACGGGTGAGCGCTTGGGAATGCGAAGTACAGAAAACCTGGATATGCGGGTGATAAGGAGACTAATCAATCATTTTGGAAAATATATCATATATATATATATATATATATATATATATATATATATATATATATATATATATATATATGTATGTAGGTATATGTCTTAGTGTGTAAAATTTACAGATAGTGTATATCTATAAAAAAACAAATGTAATTAATACTGTTTAATTAAAGAACAGAACATTTACTTAAATAATTGTATCTATAAAAAAAAACGTAGAAACAGAATATATATATATATATATATATATATATATATATATATATATATATATATATTATATATTTTGGTGTGTGTCTGAGTGTGTAAAATTTCAGAAATAGTATAAATACAGACAAAAGGAAAACTTATCTTAGCCGACGCGTTTCGTCATTTGAGGGACTTTGTCAAGGTAAATGTTAGGATTTTATTTTGTAAGAAATATTTATATACAAGAGCAAAAATATTATTGTTTCATTCGAAGTTTTTTTTAGTAAGAAACGCTCATCCATATTGGTCGGGTTAGCTGAAATCACCCTTTCTTCGCAGATGCATAAAGGCCCCGAAAGAAATATCTGAGACAAAAATTCATATATATATATATATATATATATATATATATATATATATATATATATATATATCCCTCTGACAAAAGAGGCAGAATTACAATTATGGACAGATTCATTTATCTACAAAAAAATGAAACACCTTCTCGATGACGACAATATTTACGGAAATATAAATGAATACAAGATCATAAAAGAGACATAAAAATTTAAAAACGAAGCCAAAAAATTACTAAAAGAAAATGAAGACAATTCCTGGCTAAAAGTCACCGAATACCACCCCGAAACACTCACACTTTACGGATTATCAATAATACACAAACCGGACATTGATATAAGGCCAATTATATCAGCAATAGGCAGTGCCTCACATAAACAAGCCGACACACGAGACAAAATTTAACTCGAATTCTGGTTACAATTAGCTCCTCATATAAAGAAAATTTCGGTGATCTTTTAAATAAATTTAAAAAAAGAACAGAAACATTAAAAAAGATAATATACAGTTTTGATATAAAATTTTATACACAATGTTCCTGTAAAGAAATGTCTAAATCTACTAAAAACACACTTAGCTAAAACAAAAGCAAAATTATCTATTCCTACACATAAAACACTAAAAATGTTCCATTTAATCACAAATCAATGTTTTTTCACCTTCGATAACAATTTTTATAGACAGAAATTTGGTTGGTCGATGGGGTCTCCTCTCAGTGACGTTTTAGCTTGTATATTTTTGGAATTAGCTCCTCACATATAAAAAGAAAATCGTAGATCTTTTAAATCAATTAAAAAAAAACATTAATAAAAGAGAATGTACAGTTTTGATATAAAATTTTATACGCAAAGGTTCCTCCATTACTCTCCTCATCTCTCTATTGGTCATTACTGAAAGACCCTTACCCGTAAATCGAGGTGGCTGCTTATTTTTACCATTTTTGAAACACTAGTTCTCGTACAATCACCGAAGTTAAGCAACGCCGTGCCTGGTCAGTACCTAGACGGGTGAGCGCTTGGGAATACGAAGTACACAAAACTTGGATATGAGTGTGATGAGGAGAGTAATCAGGCATATTGGAAAATGCCTGATTACTCTCCTCATGTCTTCATTGATCATTTCAGAAAGACCCTTAGCTGTAAATCGAAATGTCTGCTTACTTTTACCATATCTCGTTGAAACACTAGTTCTCGTACAATCACCGAAGTTAAGCAACGCCGAGCCTGGTCAGTACCTACACGGGTGAGCGCTTGGGAATACGAAGTACAGAAAACTTGGATATGAGGGTGATGTACTGGATAACGATTCGGAATTGTTAACCAGGGAGCCGAGTTCCAATTCCTGTCCGGTTCGTTATATTCGCTTACACACAAATACTCTTGGGAAGGGTATGAATAAATCTCCCCAGCTATGGGTTAATTAGTAAAACTTGTGTCAGCAAATATCTTTAATATCACCAAAACATTCTTAAAATCTAGTAATATTTTCTGAACTTAAACAACACGCAAAAGGTTGATAAACCGAAAAAAACAAATCAATAATATCTCTATCGATCATTGAACGAAGGCTCCTGTTTGGAAAGAAAGCCTGTTTATTTTCGTTATGTCTTTGGTCATGATTAAAGAAAAGCTCTTGTTTGGAAATAGTGATGTCTATTCACTTTTGTCGTATCTTTGCATAGCGTTGAAGATCTTTTTTGAAAAATGTTTTATTTGTTTACATTCGTCATTTCATTGTAGATCAGTGCTTCACTGGTATTGTTTGACAATCGGTGTATCTATTTGCCTTTGATCATGTTCTCGCAGATTATTGGGCGTTCTCGGACAGATACGTTTCTTTTTTTTTTTCGTAGATTTTATTCAACAAAGAACATTACGATATACATTGCATTATCCTATGTAGCATTTCTATATGTCTGCCGACCTCACCCAAGAAAGCGTCAAAGTTCATAGTCTGTTTTGTCCGCCATCTTACTAGTAATCCGGAATTGACAGGAAGTGTCATTTCAATGAGCGTATGTGCAAAAAAATAAATAAAATGACCAAACTTACATCTGTTAAACAGAATTGCCGTCGTAAAATTAAAAAGAAAATGACCTTTTAAATTAAAAAAAATATATCTAGAATTAAAAAGAAAATAACCTTTGCTTTGTATTCGTATATTTAAAGAATTAGCAAAATTACTAAATTCTTAAGATTGGACTCCTGAAATACCGAAAGGCTACTTTATGAAAAAAAAAAAACTGGGTTAAGAAGTGTTCTAAGTGACGACGAAAAACGCCACTTAGAAATAAAAAGGTGCGTTAAAATAGGGAAAAATGCCTTCCAAAAGCCAAGGAAATTGTTAAGAAACAGCAAAATGTCCTTAGAAACAAAGAAAAGATCGCTGAACTACATAATATCAAACTTCCTATATGGCAGTGAATGTCGGATAATTTCCTTACATATGAAGGCAAGATTCGAGAAACCGGAAATGTCGTTCTATAGTAGAATGCTGAGAATTCCACAGGGGGGGTAGAACATGTGAGTAATAAGGTAGTTTTAAAATAGAAGTTAAAACTTAAGTTCCAAGGATGCCATTATCACTTAAAAAAGACAGCACAGACAACCTCACTTTCTGGCATTGATATCCTCGAAGGTTTCACGAAGAAAATAATTCCCTAAGCATTTCCAATGCATTTTCATAGTAAAAATCATTTCCAATGCATTTTCATAGTAAAAATCATTGGCCAATGCATTTTCATAGTAAAAATTTTTCAATTTTTTCATAAAAAAATCATTTCCAATGCATTTTCATAGTAAAAATCATTTCAATGCATTTTCATAGTAAAAATCATTTCAATGCTTTTTTATAGTAAAAATCGTTTCTAATGCATTTTCATAGTAAAAATCATTTCAATGCTTTTTTTATAGTAAAAATCATTTCTAATGCATTTTCATAGTAAAAATCATTTCTAATGCATTTTCATAGTAAAATCATTTCTAATGCATTTTCATAGTAAAAATCATTGGCCAATGCATTTTTCATAGTAAAAATCATTGGCCAATGCATTTTCATAGTAAAAATCATTAGCCAATACATTTTTTTATAGTAAAAATCATTTCAATGCTTTTTATAGTAAAAATCATTTCAATGCATTTTTATAGTAAAAATTATTAATGGTGCATTTTCATAGTAAAAATCATGTCCAATGCATTTTCATAGTAAAAATCATTTCCAATGCATTTTCATAGTGAAAATCATTTCCAATGCATTTTCATAGTGAAAATCATTTCCAATTACATAGTTAAAGTAATTGGACAATATATTTTGAAAACAAAATCATTTCCTATGCATTTTCATCCTAAAATTGTTTCCAGTGCATTTTAGGCATTCCCATTGTCTTTTTTATATTAAAATCATTTCTACTGAAATTTTATAATAAATCAGTACTATGCAGATCAGCAAACTTCGTCTGGTTGACCATTACTACGACGCAGTTAGTTTGACGATCTTTTATCATACTCTTTTGACTGACGCTATAAAATCGCAACGAGCTTGGGAAGTACATATAATTAAAAGAGAAAATAAGTACATAATGAAGATGTTAATTTCCATCAATACTAGAAAGAGCTATAACCATTACTTCACGAATTCTTTGGAAATCATTTGACTACATTGAGATTGATTTTACTATTGAAATCTTATAGAAATTCATTGGAAATGATTTTACTGAAGAAATTCATTGGAAATGATTTTACTATTGAAATCTATTGGAAATTATTTTGTTATAAGAATTCATTTAAAATTATTTTACTATATGAATCCATTGGAAATGATTTTATTATGGGAGTCAATTGGAAATGATTTTCTATAGGAATGCATTAGAAATGATTTTACTATAGGAATCCATTGGAAATGATTTTACTATAGAAATATATTGGAAATTATTTTACTATAGGAATCCATTGGAAATGATTTTATTATAGGAATACATTGGAAATTATTTTATTATAGGAGTCCATTGGAAATGATTTTATTATAAGAGTCAATTAGAAATGATTTTACTATAGGAATCCATTGAAAGTATTTTAATATTTTAATGTGTTGAAATAATTTTTTATATGAATCCATTGGAAACAATTTTACTTTCGGAATCCATTGAATTTATTGCATTATAAGAATCCATTAAAAATGATTTTACTATAGGAACGCATTGGAAATGATTTTACTATAAGAATATATTGGAAATTATTTTACTATAGAAATACATTGGAAATTATTTTACTATAGGAATGCATTGGAAATTATTTTACTATAGGAATGCATTGAAAATGATTTTGTCATAGGAATGCATTGTAAATGATTTTAAGATAGGAATACATTGGAAATTATTTTACTATAGGAATCCATTGGAAATGTTTTTATTACTGAAATACATTGGGAATGATTTTGCTATAGGAATGCATTGGAAATGATTTTACTATATGAATGCATTGGAAATGATTTTACTATAGGAAGGCATTGGAAATGATTTTACTGTAGCAATCCATTGAAATTATTTTACTATTTTAAAAGTATTTCTTAAAAACTGTTATGAAATAAAAGATTTTATAAATTTCAACTGACGCTAAAGTTAATTCTTTGGTCAACGAAATTTTCCTGTATGGAAAAGGTTGTTTTTACCCCATACAAGAGTTAAACATTGCATAAATCCAAGCGTTGACATGTAAAATCAATGAATCAATCAATTTGTTTTGAAAGGCATCTTCCTGTTACACGCATGCGCACTTTGAAGCTTTTGGGTTCTTTGGTATCTAGAGGCCAACTCCTGTGTTTCAATTTGAAAAAAAGTTTCCTTTTAATTCTAGGCCATCCGAAATACTTTGATTGGCATGTTGCTAATCGATCAAGTAATTTGCTTATCCTTATAATGAATCGAGCTGTATAGATTATCTGCAACTCTTAATCCAATTATGCTCCATATCATGCACTATAAGCCATAAGGAATTGGCAATGTCATATGAAGATAGTGCCAGGAGAAAAAAGCTGGCTAATCTCTCGTATCCAGAGCGAGACAATATACTAAACGAAAGGTCTAAGATAATGGCTACATGCAAAACATGAAGCCGGATGAGAGTACCAAAGCTGTGTTTTTCTTCTCCTCCCCTTCTTACGTCTCACATATTTTTCTCTCTCTACGTTTAATTTTCCTCCTCCCATTGCGTTTCCGTTTGTATAAATAATGCCTATTAAAAAAATCGACCTTTTCACTGCCTAAAGAAACCATTTATTGATGGAAACAGTGGTAGCAGAATGAGTTGCAGTATTTATCATTTTAAATATTATATATATATATATATATATATATATATATATATATATGAATATAGTTTTTTTAGGTGTATATTTATGGAATAAAGTGCTCAATATCACAGAGCGCATGTGAATATAAAAGTCAAAATTGAAGTCAACACTCAGAGGCGACGGACTGTTTCATGCTAGACGCAATCGTCAGACCACGTGTTGAATTCAATGTTCCCTTATATATATATATATATATATATATATATATATATATATATATATTATAAATTAATTGATTTAAAATGTTTTTTTTTCGCTACACAGTTCTAACCATGTTTCAAAAATGGAAGCTGAAAGCTCCGAATTTAATTTTGCAATTAAATTAAAGACCATTTCCACTTCATCCTTAAGCGAATTTTGGAGTCTCTGTAAATTTACATTGAGCACTATTTTGTAAAAATAAAAATATCTATAAGAACACTGGATTATATATCTTAATGTTCTTTCTTTCATATATATATATATATATATATATATATATATATATATATATAGTTTATGCAAAACTAGGTAATCCATATGAGTAGACCCAAGGAGGATGATATCCGGAGAGCTCAATGTAAATTCAGAGCAAATATGTTTGAATAAAAACAGACCACTTTAAGGTTCCATGTAATAAATTATTTCACCACAAACCTTTTAAAGGGTTCTGGATCATCAGACTTTACTTATTGGGGATAAAGAATTGAAATGGTACATCTAACTCACTCCCACCTCACTTCCTCACTTCGCCTTCTCTCCCCCACTTCCTCACTTCGCCTAATTCCCCCCTCACTTCCTCTCTTCGTTAATTTACATATGGTTAATATTTTTCATTTCAACATTTGGAAGTAAAGTCTGATGATCCTGAGCCCTTTAAAAAGGCTGTGGTGAAATAATTTATTACATGGAACTTTAAAGTGGTCTGTTTTTTTATTCA